GGATCTTCCGTCTCTAGCTTCTGTGCTCAGTCCTCATGTAACGATTTCGATAGCAACAGCACCAATCACAAGACGGCTGCTGCCACCTGAGTGCCTGCTCTTGGCACCTGTCCAGCTTTATTAAACAGCCTTTCCTCCCTGCCTGAGTAGCAGACCAACTGAGGGAAAGGACAAAACAAGGCCTACGGGGACACGCAGCGCCTTTGTTTCTGATAGAGCTGGTATTGGAGCCTGGGGCTTAGTTCTGCGGGACAGTGGGCTTCCAGAAACTGGCCCCTGAAGTAGCAGCTTCACACCCCGCAGCACTGTGAGACCGAGGCTGGGCCTCCCCGTGGCACGACACCCAGGCCACAGGAAGACTTCTGGGCTGCCAGGCCCAAGACAGGAGCCACTATAGAAACAAGGCATCTCATGGAGTCCACATGGAAACTCCCCAAAGTAGATATTCTTTCTCACCTTTTGCAGATGGGGAAACTGAGGCACAGAGAGGTTGAGGAATCCCCCCAAAGTCGCACAGGCTGCTGTCTCAGAATATCTCTCGTGCTATAACAGAGCCAGTCTCCTGCCACCCTGGGCTGCTCCTGCGTCCTGCTGGGGAGGGAGCCGCCTTGGTGAGAGTGCCTAGCTCTGATTTCTCCGTCAGTCCTCCCAGACTTGGCTCAGTTTCATTCAGAAGCCGTCCAGGCAGGGCCTGGCTGTGAGTGCGGCCCGTGCTCTGCCTGCTGCCCGGATTGTGACTACCCAACAAGGAGCAGCAACAGAAAGGCCCCAGCCTCTAAAGGGGCTCCCACGTGGTTCAGCGTGTGGGTGTTTGTGGATCGTTTCTGACGGCTCCGGAAGGGACTGAAGGTGCACACTCCCCACGAAGCAAGGGCTCTAAGGATTCTGCACCCGATTCCAGAGCGTGGGGGGTTTCCCACCACCAAGCAATTCTCCAACCTCAGCTGGGTGTCCTAATATTCAACTCAATTCCGACACTGTCCACCTGGAGACAGCACCTTATCCCACAGGTTAAGGGCTCAGTCCCACGAGACTGCCCCCCACACCCCACACTTCAGATGCCAATCGCAAGTCCAGGTTGTGACCTGTGCTTCTGACCCCCAGGCTGTAGAATGGAGCTTCCCACAGCCCCCTCACTGAGTCAGTTAATTTGCTAGAACTCAGGGAAACCTTTTACTTACTGGATTATTGATTTATTGTAAAAAGATTTAACTCAAGAACGGCCAGATGGAAGAGATGCAGAGAGCAGGGTGCGAGGAAAGAGCAAGGTGCTCCCACGCCCTCTCCCAGCTCATCACTCTCCCAGCACCTTCACGTGATCACCAATTGGAAGGCTCTGGAACTCTGTCCTTTAGGTTTTTATGGAGGCTTCATGACATAGGCATGAGTTAGTAAAATATTGGCCACTGGTGATGGATCTCAATCTCCATCCCTCTACCCTCCCTGCAGGTCTGGGGTTGGTTCCCCTGGCAACCAGCCCCCATTCTTAGACGACCTAGGGGCTTTCACTTAGGAAATTCCAAGGGTTTTAGGATCTCTGTGCCAGAAACACGGATGAAAACTAAATATATATTTCTTATTATAAGTCACAGTATCACAGCCTCGTTCATTACCCGTTGTCCACCACCATTGACCCCTCCATCAGGAGGGACCTGCTCTCCTTCTCCCTGTGTCCAGGATACCGCAGATACCCTGCAAATATTTGTTTTTCCTTGTGTGTGCCCACCCCATGGTTTGTGGAGAGGATCAAGTGAACTCATGACATGCAAACCAACATAAGATCTGTGTTTCCCGCCTCTGAATCAGTGCACACGTGTGAGAGCCCAGAAACACCCCTGACCTTTGTCCTCATTTGATGCATGAGGCTCAGTCAGGACAGAACTTGCACTTCAACTCAAATGTTCATTTATTTGTGCTTAAATCTCGCTAGTGTGTCTTTTCCCTGCAAACTGTCAGAGAGGTGTAAATGTCACTACCGCGTCCTCCGCACCTGAGCCGGGGCCTGCTCGTGTGTTTCCCTCTTATGTGTCTCAGGGCAGAGCTGGGTCATTGCCTGGAGATGGAAACTGATCTGGAGCAGCCCAGAACCCCCAGCAGCTGTGCTTCAGCTGGGGTTAGGGCAGAGAAGTGGACCCTGTGAGGACTGCGAGGTTGGAATGGTCCATACGGTCTGAGATGGACTGGAGAATGTGCACTGTCAGGGCAGCCCAGGCCTCAGAGTGAGGGGCCTGCCTTCTGGGCTATGCTGTCAGGTCTTCCAACCCGCTGGGCCTCCATTTCCCCAGCTGTAAATTGGGGAAAATGGTTCCCAGCCTGTGATCTTCAAGGACCTCTTTTGAGGGTGAGACTAGACAGTGAATACATTTAAAAACTCCAAAGAACAGGCGACGCTGAGGTTTAGGCTGTCCTGCCTGATGTGTGGCACACTCCCGTCCTCCTGATGACAAGGTTGCCCAAACGCTTTGCCGGTCCCGTGAACGGACCGTGGTGGTTCCCATATGAGCCAAGGAATGCCCCTGTGGGAGCTTGAAGCTGGTTTGAATTGGGTCTCTGCCAAGCAGAGTCCAGAGTAATGTAATGACAGGCCACTCTTCAAGGTAAATGACGGTGTCTTAGGTGAGCGTCCTCAGCTCATTCAGCCTTCTTGGCGCTCCCTGGACTCAGGAATCCCGCTGGCCTTGCGCCTGCCCCTTTCCTCCTGCAGAGCGCCAGTGTCGGGGACTGCGAGGTGTGCTCCAGGCTGTGAGCTCTTTAAGCTCGGGTGGGAAGAGCTCTAGAAGGTCGCAGGATCTTCTTGCAGAGGCTGCCTGGGCGTGTGCTGTGGGCGCCCAGCATTCTGCACCCTTCGAGGAGGAATCTAGCTCTGTCTGAGTCCAGCGTGGCCGTCTGGTAGGTGGCGTGGGTGACGTGGTGAGGTTTGGAGGAACAGGTGGAGCCCCTGCAGCCAGCTCTGCCACTAACCAGCTCCGTGACCTTGAGCAAGACAACCAGCCTCTCCGAGCCTCGGTTTCTTCATCGGGACAATGTGCCTATGAGAGGAGATCAGCTGCACTCGCGACATCACAGGGCTGCTGTGAGATTAAACAAGAAAATGCTGGATAGCCCTTCCCAGGGAGCCAGGCTTACAGAGGGAGCTCATGGATGCAACAAGCACAGACCCTCGTATTGGCACCTGCTCTGCTGTCCTTTAAGACCTGTTTCAACTATCTGAAGTGAACCTCACACCAACCCAAGGTCGGTTTTATAACCACGATGAGGACATGGAGGCTCAGAGAGGGCTGATAACTCACTAAAGTCACACAGCTGGAAGGTGGCAGATTCTGAGCTCGATCCAGACTCTAGACCCTCGGGTCTGGTGTGATTCTAGGTGCTGACGATGTTGGTGTCAGTAATGGAACTGGTGGAAGGTGGAAGTCTCTAGGCAGAGAAAGCTCAAGAGGATATGAGGCTTATTTGGGAAACAGTGAATCCTTATCCATTGTATTAAATTATGTGACATGACACATATGTGGCCATTTTGACTTAAAAGGTGTACATTTCACATGACTCAACCTAGGTCTTTAGGTCTGCGTCGTCCCCAGTGAGTGGCTCAGGCGGTGACGACTAGATTTGCGTGGGACAGGGCAGCCCTCCCACAGGACACGCACATTCCGCTGGGAGTTCAGGGAGTGGCTCCCTCAGTCTGGGGGTCCAGCAGGGCTCCCTGACGGCTGTGGCCCTTCAGCAGGGCCCTGGAGGGTGGGAAGGAGCCACGTGGCCCTTCCTGAAAAGGGCTGCTCCCAGGACGGCCTCTAGCGGTGGCGCAGGAGCTGTGGTTTCCCTCTGAAGACCCCAGGGTGGGCCAGGGAGCAGGTTGAAATGTGGCCCCCATCATAACTTAGCCTAGGGAGGGCCGGTGGGGCCAGCGAGGGTCAGTGGTCTGCTGTACTTTCTCTCCCACGACCCAGGGATCGTCAGAATGACTCTCCAGAGCCATCCGGGGCCCCTTGGCCAAAGGGTGAGGGAGGAGGAGAGCACACAGGGCAAGAGTCTTGGGGGCCTGACAGTGCTGGGCGAGTTTGAGCAGGTGATGCACCTTCACCTGGGTCTCCTCACCTGGGGAGAAGAGTAACGTGGTCGAGGATTCCTGGGGCAGAGGTGAAGTGAGGAGGACAGAAGTGTGTACTCCCAGTCCAGCCCCACTGGACAGGGCTCTAGGGAAATCAGCCAGAGCCATTTACAGAAAAGACCCGTGAGCTGTTGGGGTCCAAGCCTGGCTCAGGTGACGATGCAGGATGGGAAGGGGACCTGCTCTTCTCCCTCTGCTGCTGCAGATGTGGCAGCTCCATGTCCCCGCAGAGCTGAAGGCTCCGGGGGCAGCAGGGAGGCAGCCTCGTGGGCGGCACTGGCCGCCCCGCAGGGTGAGGGGCTCGCACAAGGCGGCGGGGGGTGCAGTGAGCACTGGCAGGGGTGGGGGCTTAGCAGGTGGAACTGGTGGACGCGTGGTGGAGGTGGGGGCCTCGGGCTGGTCTCTGAGCCCGAGAGAGTCCACCTTGGGGATTCCCAGACAAGACTGAGAGGCCTGGAGCTTTCCCATGTCAGTAAGCTGTGGGTTTCGGCCAACATTTCATCGTGGCCTAGCTAGCACAGGGCCTGGATGGTGTCAATGCCTAATTGATATTAATACAGCGGACACAGGAAAGATTGCTGTGACCTGGGGTCACACACATCCTGAGGACGTAAAGGGAGACTCAGAGACAAGAGGATGAGGGACTTGCACGTCACACTCAAGCCTGGGCCAGGTCAGCCATTCTTTAATGTCGTCTAGGGCGGGGGCCTGGCCTGGTGTGGGGGCTGAACCAGAGAGGAAGTTATGTTTTGGTGGGATCCACCACCTTTCCCACGAAGAGGGGACTCTTGGTGTATCTGTCGTAGATGATTAAGACGAAGGGCCTGTTGAACTCCACATTTGGGGGTGACAACACAGCTGACGACCCAACGATGAATTCCACGAGAGTGGCCCCGGCAGCTTCAGTCCCTTTCTCGTCGATGGTCAGCACAGCCTTGTGCACTGCCTGGAGGGGAGAGAGCACAGTGGCCTGTCCTGAGCAGGGGAAGGTGGCCGCCCCCCACCCGGGCCTGGGAGCAAAGCTTGATGAGGAGGGCGTGACCGGGAGGGCTCAGTCACTCAGGCCTTTCTCCACCCGGCCTGTCCCTCCCCGTCCTCGTCCACCCTCCCTGCGGGGGTGCACAGGCCTTTCTCTACCTCCTCAAGGCCTTTGCCTGACTGCACCAGCGCACCCTCACGTCTCCTCCCTGAGCAACACCTTCAGCCTCCCTGGGAAACAGCCCACAACCTCAGGAGGAGAAGATGTTCTTCACTTCATCCTCCTTGGCACGTCTCTTGTTTCTAGTAGCAGATTTTAAGCTCCTTGGGGAAGAGGACTGAGACGGAGATCTTCACAGCACCTAGTCCACAACCAGGTGCTCACTTCGCACTGTCATTGACCTACAGTTGTCTCTTTGGTCACCTTGAATTCTCCTGAATAAATGGCATGTCAGCCAAAATCACATGTTAACTTGGACTCAGCGATTCGCCAATAGCTCCCAGCGTCACAGGACGCCGGGGCCAAAAGTCTTCTGACATTCCCGTGCCAGGGGCTGACTTTGTAAATATGGGTCCATCGAGGCCCAGAGAAGGGAAGGCCCTGAACGAAGACGAGACAGAGGGAGAGGCTCACCATCTCAGAGGAGGCCCCAACAATGCCCGAAGCCCATGAGGCGCCTCCTGCACTCAGTTCTCTGACCGCACTCCAGTCTGGGTGACTCCAGTTTTGGTCCTCAGAGGACCTCCATCTGCAGGTGTGTTTGTGTGCTCATACTCACCCCTGAGCTGTGGCCCCTGGACACACTCTGACCTACAGACACAGGGACAAACTCACCTTGGACACCTTCAGGGGCACTTCCTCAGCGATCCCTGAGAGGTCAGCCTGGTTGCTGAAGACCTTGGTGATGCCCAGGTTGCCCAGGACCTTTATCAGATCGTAGGTTCCAGAAATGGACAGTTTGGGCAAACATAAATTGGCGAACCTGTCACAATGGTTAGAAAACAAAGGAGTTTCAGAGCATTGCAAGTGTTTCCTTTCTGGTCATTTTCCCCACTTAGCACCCTGTCCCCCTGCCCATACGAGGACGCAAGGTCAGCCTGTGTTTATTCTATTTTTAGCTCCTCCACACCCGTGTCAGGGAATGTTAGGATCACAGGGACCATCTTGTCCTCCAAAGCCTCTCCAACGCCACCTCCTCTGAGAAGTGTCAGGTTCTGAGTGACATCTGCTCGGTGAATGATGAGTGACTGCGGGGCTGGTTTTCAGCCCTAGGTTTCCATGGAAACAAAGTGTGGCCCCAGGAAGGTCTGACAGGTGAGCTGACTGGCACTCAGGGTCTGTCTGAGCCGTTCTGGATTCAGCCCCTCCTTGTTCTGTTCACTCAGCCTCTGTTGCAGGAAGACGGAGGGGGTGGGGAGAGGTACTAAAACTTCCTGTTTCATATTAACCTGTCCTCTTGTCTATTTTTATTTTCATATATATACGTTTATTATGCTTCTCCTATATATGATTTATTTTACCTATTTTAATTCATTTGATTATTTACATGTATTTATATGACATATGTTTATATATTGATGGATATTTTTATGGTGTCTATAATAGAATAGTGCAGGGGGGGTGGGCATTTTATGAATATGGGGATATGCACTAATTTGAGGCGCATGCTCAGGTATGACTTCACTACAAGAGCCCCAATCTGGCCACACTGATCTGGTGACGGAGGAAGCCCAAACCCTCAAACACGTGCTGCAGGTTGCCACTCTGGACCTTCCCTTTTCCGGCCTCTCTGAGCAGGTTCCCCTGCCCAGCTGTGACCTTTCCTCCTCTAACTTCACGTCAACTGCTCCCCTGCCGGGAAGCCCACCTCTTCCCTCTCGGTTCTCGCATGGCGTGTGTTGGTGTTGATCACCTTGCACTGGGCCCCGGCACCGGGGAGGCGCAGTGTCCATGCTGGGGAGGAAGTCCCCAGGGACAGGACTCTGGCCTCCTCACCTGTGGGCCCTGTCCCTCCCACGGAGCCCAGCTGGTCTCCCTGAGCTGACGCTGGCCTCTGTCTGGAAGCACAAGGTCGTGCACAGGGGCTGTGGCCCGCGGGATGTGTGTCCGCCCTCCCACCCACTGGCCAGGCCTCGTGTGGCAGCTCCCGGGTGAGCCCTGGTGGGAAAGTCACCTTGAGGATCTGTTTTCCAGGAACGTGGCGAGGATTTCCTTGCTGAGCGTGTCCTCCAGGTGCTGCAGTTTCCCCGGGTCAGGCAGGATGAAGAAGGTGGTGGCGTTGCCCACGTAGTTGAAGAGCAGTACCCAACTGGAGAGAGTGTCAGAGTGGTGGACGTCAAACACGCCGTGGCCTTTCATCATGCGCACCTTGACTGTGGTGTTCTCGTCCACATGGAAGTCCTCGTCTGTGGTGAAATTAGCTTCGAAGGGCTTCTCCCATTTGCCTGGACAGAAGGGAAGGTGGGCATCAGCCAGGGTGGGAAGAGGTTTAGAAAAGTGTCGTAGAATAAAGGGGCCCTGAACCTCCGAGGTGAGATGCTTCTCTCTGAGCCTCAGCCTCACCATCTGCAAAATGGGGCTAAAGCGATGTCAGTCTCCGGAAAGGACTTTTGTGAGGATAACATAAGACGGGAGTAGGATCCAGAATTTCTAGATTGGTGTCTATAAGGGATGGCGCTCTGGCTGTGCAGAGTAAGCATTTTTACTTGTATTTCATGTTTATTTATTCGTAGGTGGCTTGGGAGATTCTAAATGAAAATTATTGGCTCCCATGGTACTTGGCACCTCCTTGACTGAGGCTCCCTGCCCCTCGTTACCGGGCAGTTCTCATCATTTGGGGAGATCACTCTTGTTCCTACCCTGATGGCCTTTTCCTGGACCAACACGTGAAATGTGGACGCCTGGCCAGCTCCCCTCTGCTAGACCAACAGAAAGTCACCATCCTGCCAAGTCAGGATGGGCAGAGCCCCAGGGACCCTGAGCCCAAGGTTCTCATTGGACGGGAGATGGAGATGGAGGCTGGGGAGGTGATGAGACCCACCCTAAGCCCACAGTAGAGCTGAGACCTAGATGTGCTGATTCCAGCTCGGCCCTCACCATCGCACTGTTGCCACGAGAGCAAGGAGCCAACAGTGTGAAGGAAGCAGCCCCCGGGTTTGACTCTCACCTCCCCTACCCCCTGGCTATTCCCATGGACTGTTTAAACTGCCTAAGGACGCCCTCTGGGGCCCACAGGTTCCTGACAGTATCAGCACTCAGAGGGAGGAAGGCTGAGATCAAGTTTAGTTGAGCACCTACTATGTGAGCATGTGGTCCCATGTTCTCTGCAATGTGTTCAATTCTTACAGAAACCTGACAACAAGGGAATTATTATGTCCATGTTACAGAGAGGAAACTAGAACCTCCAGGAGGTAAAACGACTTGCTCATAGTCAAACAGCTGAGAAGCAGTAGAGGAAGGATTTGAACCCTGGTCTTTCTGACTCCAAAGCTGTCACTGTTTCTCCTACACTAGAGTTGTTCAAAGTATGTTTCATGAAACACTATTCCCTTCATACACTCTGCTACAATCTGTTTTTCTGGATCTCTATTTTGGGAGACATTGCATATGGAAGTCCCCTCCCTGGTAGGCATTTACAATGCATAATTGGACACTAAAGGCTCTGAAAAGTCCTGCAGAGAAGACAATGATTTGACTGTTGAACCCATCATTCCCTAACCTTATTTGATTGTGGGAAGTTTTTTTAGTGGTTGTGTGTGGAAAATCGAATAACACATCCTGAGATCCTATCCTGCACTGCAAAGGAAAGTTTAAGAATTGAGTGTTTGAGAATATTTTTGGCTGTTTCCATGGGAACAAGCTCAGGTTGGTTGTGCAACCTTACCTTTAAAGAAAATGTAATTCACCAGAGCTAAAAGTGCGTCTTCGCTAAGTTCTTTGACCAATTCCACAATTTTTCCTTGGGTTCCCTTTTCTACATAATCGTTGATCTGTTTCTTGGCCGCTTCGGTGTCCTTGAAGTTGATGGAGAAGGCTTCTGAGTGGTAAAGTTTCTTGACATCCTCCAAAAACTTATTCACTAGCTTCGCACTCTCATTGATGAACAGACCATTGCCCGCGGTCACCTGTAGCTGGTTATCCGGCCGGTTGAGGGTGTGGAGCAGATCCTGGAAGCTTTCATGGATCTGAGCCTCTGATTGCTCAATGAGGTTGAAATTGAGGCCCTCCAGGATCTGCGTGTGAGTGTCACCCTTGGCCCCCAGGGAGAGCATCGCAAAGGCTGTGGCGATGCTCACTGGGGAGAAGAAGATGTTGGTGGTGTTGGGCTGACGGGCCACATGACGGTACAGGCTGAAGGCAAAGTCAGCCAGGTTTGGGGCAATCTTGTGGCAGGGTAGCTCCTGCTGTTGTTTGTGATCATGCTTGGAGGCATCTGTCTCCTGGACAGCATCTCGCTGGGGATCCTGAGCCAGGGAGCCAGGGACCAGGCAGCACAGGCCTGTCAGCAGGAGGAGGCCCCACGTGATGGAGGAGGGCATTGTCCTGCAAGAGAGAGAGGGGCACCAAGCCCAAGTCAGGCCACACGATGAGTGCCTCGGCCACTGATCAGCACCATGGAGAGCCACCACAGTTTATCAAACAGCTACTATGTGCCAGGCCTGTGCCAAGCACTTTCTACATCGTCATCACTGAAAGACTCAGAACAATAGCAAAGACTTTGACGGTGCTCACTGTATGCCAAGCTCCCTTCTACGCACTTGACTGTCTTATCTTCTTGCCCTCTTGTAACAATCCCATGAGGCAGGTCACGTGACAAGTCTCGATTTACAGATGAGGGGACTAAATGCGAGGGAGGTGTGAGTCACCTGTCCAAGGCCACAGAGCAGAGAAGTAGCAGGACCAGGGTGTACACCCAGGAGCCCGGGCCTGGAGTCCACACTCTTGATGGCTCCACTAACATCAGCACTGACTCCGAGGTGCAAGTGCTGCAGCCCTTAGTTCACAAAAGAGGAAACTGAGGCACAGGAAGCATACTCTACATGCACATGATTACCCAGGAGGCAGGCCAGATCAGGCTCAGGGGTGATTGGCAAAGCCTGCAGAGGGCTTCCGTGGAACTCTGTTATTTAATGGACAGAGGCGCTGTTGCCCAGAAGGGGAAGAATCTTGCCCAATGTCACACAGCCAGAACACAGCGGAGCTTTGAGGAAACACAGCAGGGGAGTTGTGCCCACTTACCACCCAGGGTGGTCCTCAGCCCCTAGGAGATGTTCCTGAGCCAGAGGGCTGCCCTCACCATGAGTCTGTGGCCTCAGCTACATGAACGGGCTGTGGTCCCTGCAGTCAGCTTAGCTTCTCATCCTGGCCACTGCCTGTGTCCCAGCTCTGGGCTCAGCAGTGACGTGGGAGTTAGAGACGCTGGTCTCTCCAGTAAAGTGGGGTTTGTGTGGGGGGGAGGGTAGGGGTTGAAAAAGCATCTCTTTACTCTTCAGAGAGAGCTGGGTTCTAATCTGGGCTCTGCCACTATCCAGCTGTGTGACCTAGGACAAGTCATTTTGTCGCTTTGGCCCTCATTTAGCCTCATACAGAAAGTGAGGTTGTTGAGAAAATTTAGTGAAAAAAGTCTAGACACCAAACCTTCCACTGAAGGGATCTGAAGGAGCAGCTCTCTGAGGGAGAGGCTGGTGAGGGTGGCCAACTTGAAGGCTTCAGAGGATAAGCAGGGGCGGGAGATGTGCTCTACGGCTGGGGGGAGACAATACGGAGCAGCAAGGCCCGTGGCTCAACCTGCAAGAGCAGGCTCTACCTGGTGACGGTCAAAGTAAGCGTCACCCACAGCAACACGGAGCCCGCCACACCCCACGGAGCTCCTCTACTCCAGACACGCCCAGCCTCGGGCCACCAGTCTGCAGCCCCCGACGTGAACCTGCTCTCCTCAGAGGTGGGAAACTGAGGTCCCAGCAGAGGAGAAGTGCCTGCGACCACCTAGCTAGTTATTACTCAGAGAACTAAAACAATCGTTTTAATAAAATACAAAGACAAAGGAGTCCTTGGATTTGGAATATGAAAACCTGGGGGGAAAAGGTGGAAATAAGAAACACGGGGCTGCATCTACCCCCTCGGAATTTTAAATATTTCTTTTCAATAAAGCAGCAAAGTGACGCTGGTTTCTCTCCACCAAATTTTTTCTGGCTTTCATGCCTCTAAATGAGCCAAATGGAGCAGATCACACATTACATAATACGTGTTTATATTTTTCTTAAACTAGACAGTGGTTTTAGAGCTGACGGTGGTGCTAGAAGTAGTCCTGAATATTTCCATCTCCGTCAGGTTTCTCTTTGCTTAACCCACTGGATTTTGGTGTGATCCTTCCTGGGTTATGGAAATTCCCCGTCTTTGCAGGGCTCAGAGGTCCTGAGGGATTTCGGCCTTCAAAGGGCGGGGACACTAAATATGCCAAGTGGTCTCAGGGCCAGAGGCGGCGGCTTCCAGCCCCGACAGGAGTACTACTGCCCTCCTGGCCTTGGCGAGCGCCGACTGGTTCTGGGCCCTCGCTCTCCCAGCTGTGTCCATCGACGTGGGCGAAGACCTAGATGAGGTCCCTGTGCACTGATGCTGGATTCTTAATTAAAGGGGTACCTGGGTTTGGTGGAGAAAATGGACTGAGATTTCCCATGGGGAGGGCTGGGGTGAGGTGCCCCCCACTCAGGGGGCTACTGGCCTCCTGGAAGGTGCAAGGCTGGCTGGGGCTGCGATGGAGAGGGGCTGCAGCTGGGGTGAGCACGTGCCGCCCTACCCCATCCCTCTTCCTGGATGGTACATCACCTACTCTGGCGTCTCCTTTTACAGTAAAGGGTCTGAGGCCCAAGGGTCGGGGCCTCGCCAAGGCCACACAGTGAGTCAGTGACAACGGTGGACCAAGCCTTGGTTTTCCATCCACTCCAACTGCAGAGGGAGACGGCCATGTCCTCAGGTCTCAGACTTTGTGGATGTCAGAATTGGGCCCTGAGGGACCCTGACGTCAGCCTTGAGCCTCCTGTTGGCTCCCTTTTGACCCCTAATCTGTTCCTTACTACTTCAGGGGCCGGAGTTTTCTGCTGTCTCCTAGCACTTCTATCAAAAGTAGCACCCCACATCCCCAAAACCTCGTGTGGGGGAGCCAACCAGAGATGAGGCAGCAGATGGGGAGGCACCCAGAGGTGCATGGGGCCTTTAAACCAGAAGAGTTAAGGCGTCACAGTGAATGTCCAGAGCCCGGGGCAGGGGAGCATCTTTGCCAGGAGGGAGGGTGAGGTGAGCGTCCCCTTGCCTAATCTCACACCATTTCCTCCCAGGAGCCGGAAAGGAGCAACCAAGAGCAACCCAGCGGGGTCCAGAGACATCACTGTGGCACAGGGTCATGACCTGCTGACACCTGGCACTGAACAAGCCCAGGTGTGAGCCAGGCCTGCCACTTACGGGCCAGTGGCCTTGGCAAGTGACTTCACTGCTTTGAGCCTCGGCCTCCAGTCTGTGAAATGGGGAAATGAATCTCTTTCGGGGCCGACGTGAGGGACAGACAGGTGATGGGTGGGCGCACCCCCCAGGTATGGAGGCCCTCCCCACACCTGCTCACAGGCGGGGATGGCACGTGAGCATTGGCGGATTTCTTCCTGGCCGGTTGCCGACTCGCCCAGGACCAGAGAAGGGGCCCCTGCTCAGCACTGAACCGCCTCTGAGTTTGGAAAATTTAAAATTCAGTTCTCCAAGTATTTAGTTACTGCCTCTTAGCTGTGAAGCCCTGTGCCCGGCAACGTCAGCATCAGCATCACCGTCCTCAGTGTCACACTTGGTCACAACAGGTGTTTCATGTGCACTGTCTCATCTACTCTCCCCTCTAGCTCACCCTAGGAGGTGGGAATTATTATTAGCCCCGTTGTATAGATGTAGAAACTGAGGCCTACTGAGGTTAAGTCACTTACAGAAAATCACAGAGCTAGTTGCTTATGGGACTGGGATTTCATCCTAATCGGCATTTAGATTCCAGACCCTTCTGTGTGTATAAAGCTGAATCCAGAGGACTTGAAACAGAAAACCTCAAAGGTGGCCTGGCTGAATGAAGAGGGGCAGCATCGCTCTGTGGCTAAGGTCGGAGGCTGC